GGCTGCAAAGGTCAGCGTTTCATTTAATGTGATGTGAGATATCGTAACCCTGATGTGTCATCTGCTAACATCTATAATACACATTACTTTGGGTTACTAGCAGATTTCTCATCAGCTCCATCTGATTTCTACAGGAGCCTTGGATAGTATCACCAAGTATTTCCAGATGTCCCTGGAGGCAGAGGAGAGGGTCAATGCCTCCACTGTTGATCCCGATAGCGCCGTGGAGCTGTCAGCACAAACGCGGCAGGAAGTGGAAGACTTAATCAATGAGAAGGAGGCCCAGTTCAAGGCTAAACAAGAGGAGCAATCGCGCCTTCTAGATGAACTCGCAGGCAAGCTGCAGAGTCTGGATCTCTCCGAGGTGGCTGAGAAGGTACACAGCTGAACACAGCTGAGAATCACTGGGATAAAACCTGCAGCAAAAATAAAGCTGGGTTTGTGAAGACGCAACAGGCAGGGAGGAACTGTAGGGCGTGACAGCGTGAGATATGCAGCTTGTTGATGAAAAATGCGCATTGCTTGGTTGGTGGGGTATTCTGTGGGCTAGAACTGGGCCATGTAATCAGCAGGCTCTGAGACCTACTGGCTTTCAAGCACCAGCCTTTCTTGTTGGTCTCCCCCCTACCCTTCCCAGCTCAAAAAAGCACCGGCCTTTTTATCACTCCTGCCTTAACCCAGTGCCCTTTGCCGTGGACAGAGCTCCCACATGTAGAAAAGCATAGCAAATCTGCTGGGCTGAGAGCCATCTGATGAGCTCTTAAACCCATCCTGAGTTCAGTGCTTGCTTTCTCTAGGCTTTCCTCTTCCTTTCTGCAGTTCTGTAGGGAACATGCTGGGCCTGTACGGTGCCCAGCCAGGCAGCATTTCTGCTTGCACTGACAGGCTGCCCACCTCATCATCACCACAGGCTCATCTCCCTCCTGCCTGAGACAAAGCAGAACTTAACAGGGAGCTGGAGTCAAAAGGGCATTTTCTCTGTTGAAGCTGCCTACTCATCTGTAAATACCATCAAGGGTGGCTTTTTCTTGGGAGAGGCTGGGTGTTCCCTCAGTTTCACTTTGAAGTTGTCCAGCTGCATTCAGAGAACAATCCCTAAACAGTCCCCGGGGAAGGCAGGCTGCAGGGGACCACTCATTAAATCCCCGGGGAAGGCCAGGCCTGTGTTAGAGGGTGAGTTCTTCACACACTGAATTGTCCCTTCCTTAACAAGGAGCCATCCCTCCCACTCCCCCAGCCCTCTGTTTTTCTCTGGAGGCAAGAAAGAGAGATCTTTTTGTTTAGCTTTCCTTCCCCTACATTCCTGCCTGACTGTTCTTGAGGTCTGAAAATCTTGGGTAGATGTTTATCAAGACAGTAAACACCAAGTTGCTTCGAGGTGTAATCATGAGACACACAGAGCCACACACACAAAAAAAATCTTTCTGCTTTCTAGCTACTGCTGGGTTGCATGCCAAACAGGTAAGAGGGACTCATTTACACTTCACAGGAGACAGCTGCAGTTAACTTGGCACAGCCCCCAGGTTATCCCAGGGAGATTTTTTGGCTGCAAAACCTCAGTGACTATCATTTGGCAAAAAGGGAGTGGGGGCTTGAAAAGTGAAAAGAACCTCACAAGAATGGGGAGTTTTCTCATATTGCCTCCTCTGTTATGTCATTGCCAAACACTGACCAAGTAGTGGATAATTCTCAGTACAAAGGTGCTGATGGAAATAGATTTGCTTTTTAAAAAAAAAAACCCTCTGAAATTTTCTGGTACAGCAGTGTCCTACTCCAGCCCCCCCCACAGTTCAGCAATGGAAATCAGGCTGTGACTGCTTCCCTTGTCTAATGTGTCCCTGCAGACGTGTGGCACTGCTCCGGGAGCCTCCTGTGCCGAGTCCGAGTGCGGCGGCTTGAACTGTCGGACGGAGGAAGGGAAGAAGAAGTGTGGAGGCCCCGGCTGCGAGGGGCTGGTGACCGTAGCTCACAACGCCTGGCAGAAAGCTATGGATTTTGACAGAGACATCCTCAGTGCATTAGCAGAAGTTGAGCAACTCTCTAGAATGGTAATGTGCCAAAGCCATTGTTAGATATTAAAAAAGAAAAAAACCCTTTCGCTTGTAACACAGATTGAGAGGCTAATTGACAAAGTATGTGCTGGCTTACTTCGGAATACTTTGAGTTGCGTAACCTCAACATGCTTGTAAAAATCCTCAGCAAGGGAGCTTGCTAAAGTGAAGCTTCATGGATAACTAAACATCAGCCTGAGTTGTTTAAACTAGCACTGGGGGTATGGATCAGGGCCAGCTTCTAAGTGTTCTGTGAGTTTTATGAGAAAAAGCATTCCTCATTACTATTACCTCTAACTCCAACAGAATTGTTTTAAAACAGGCCTTAAAGCATGACAAGATATGCAATCAAGCCTTCCATTTTCCTCTCTTTAGGTTTCTGAGGCGAAACAGAGAGCTGATGAAGCAAAACAAAATGCACAAGCAGTTTTGCTCAAAACCAATGCTACAAAAGAACAAGTGGACAGAAGCAATGAAGATCTGAGAAATCTTATTAAGCAGATTAGAGACTTCCTAATGCGTAAAACCCTTACATTTTATTTTGATTCTGGCTTTGTGAAAACTGTTTTTAGATCTATATCATCCTCCAAGGGTTAATGCAATAGTTGTGTTATTGTTCCCCGCCCCCCCCCAGACTTAGTGTCTATGATGAAATCTGGAAACTCGAGAAAACGAAGACAATAGGAAAGTGAGAGCAAACTGTGACATGTTCTTTTGTGCATTTCAGCTGAGGCTGTTGTAGTGCTGTACTTAGCCAAGTATGTTCATAAGTTCTGGCTAGAAAGACAAAGTAGTATTAAAGGGGAAGAAAGTCAGAAACTGTGAATTTATCTCTCTGTAAGAAAGCACGTAAAGGTTAAATGAAAGCCTTGTTTGCCAGCAAGCAGCAGCATGGCAAACCCATTCCTTCCCTGTTTGCACAGGGCTGAGTATGCGTTAGCACAAATACATTTACGTGCAGCTGTTGGCTTTGTTTCCTGGGGCTCAGGTCCCCCCCAGCTAATCACCAAGATCTTCAAATGGCTTCCAAGAGAGCTATGCCAGCAGGGCCTCCACACCTGCTGGACCTCTCCCAAGAGGGAATTTCCACCCTAAGGAAGCAGTTTTAACACCTTGATTTTCCATAAGTCTGTGGGAAGAAGTTTTCCTGTGATTTTCCTTCTTTAGGGAGCAGCTGGACAAGAACTTGAGTACTGAGACTTGACAGAGGGAAGCTTTTACTCACATCTTTGTTATTTGTGTCCATTTACTAGAAGACAGTGCTGACCTGGATAGCATCGAGGCAGTGGCTAATGAAGTGCTGAACATGGAGATGCCAAGCACTCCCCAGCAGCTGCAAGCCCTGACAGAAGATATTCGCGAGCGTGTGGAAAGCCTCTCTGATGTTGAGGTCATTCTGCAGCAAAGCGCTGGAGACATTGCCAGAGCAGAAATGCTGCTGGAGGAAGCTAAAAAAGCAAGGTACGCAGCCCTGTTTCATCTCATTGTATGAGAAAGTGCAGTTTAACTTTCCCTGATGTAGATTTTCATTCCTTCACTAAGGGGCAAAAATGTTCCTTTGCAGTAGGTGGGTTTTTTCCAGTTCCAAAGTAAAAGCAGTTTTAGCATTAACAGAGTCTTTCTTGCTCCACAGCAAAGGTGCAACAGATGTTAAAGTCACTGCAGACATGGTGAAAGCAGCACTGGAAGAAGCTGAAAAAGCTCAAAATGCAGCTGAAAAAGCCATCAAACAAGCTGATGAAGATATTAAAGGAACTCAAGACCTGCTGACCTCAGTGAGTTTTTTATGACTATTTCTTATGCTATAGAAACAGCACCAAGCCTGATACTTGGAAACTGATGTAAGCCTGCCTAGGGAAGGCTCTCGGGTACTGCAAAGCAAAAACTGCACTTAAAATGGATCTAAACCATTCCTGCCTTCACATCAACTTTTGAGTGAGTATGACAAATGCTAGGGGACTATTTGCTCACAAAAACCCCAGTCAGACAACAACAACCAACCACAAAAAAACCCAAACCAAACTGAACCAAAAATCAAAAGGCTTTTCTCACCCCATATCCTGCACCATCCAAGTAAAACGAGCAGGATTGTAACCTTCTAAAGTTAAGGCAAGCCACACCGGTCATGTATTGGTGTAGCTGTGCAAAGTGTCATCCACCACTGCAGCGTCAGACTAAAATAAACGAATGCTGGATTGAAGTGGCAAGTGCTGTAATCTTGTCAGATAAAGTATTTTCAAATTTCATCTCAAGGCCCTCAGGACACCATAGTGCTATCTATACCCATGAAGCTTGGCCAGTTTAGAAGCTTCACAAGTCCATTATCACAGGCTGAAGTCAAACGTCTGAAGTTTTCTCAGCAGATTAGGCAACTCTTGCATGTATAATGCAATCAAATCGTTTTTCACCATGTTCAATAATGCTTTTGCAGCCTCATATGTACTGTTTTCAAGCAGTGGGCTTTTTCACCCTGACTGCGATTGGCCATTTTTAGCAAAACTAAAACAACTGTTTTTTTAAATCAGATCTATGGACATAAACTAATTAGCTGAGCAGAGTATATCCAGAAAGTTTAGTAGTATATCCGGTGTCTTTTGAAAGTGTAACTCTCATCCTTCTTTCTATTAGATTGAATCTGAAAATGCAGCATCTGCAGAAACACTGAACAACGCTACCTTACGTCTGTTTGAACTAGAGAGGAGTGTTGAAGACCTTAAGCAAAAAGCTGCTACAAATTCAGAGAATGTGGACAACATAGAAGACAAAATTATTACTGCAAAACAAAATGCTGAAGAAGTTAAAGAGGTGAGAAGCTCAGGAAAGATGCTAAGGGAATACCAGGAATGTTCCTTTAGCTTTGGCTAAAGGAACATCAGTGAAAACATGTGATCCATCACATTTATTGGTCATGTACTGGGGGTAAAAAAAATCCCAACGTCTACACACTTATCCAAGATAGCTGCTTTTTACTTGGGTCCAAATACAGAGAGAGAAGTATTGGGAAGTTTTCAGGTTCCAAAATAGCTGCAGGAAACCTGTCACACTGTCAGCCTTTTACAGATATGTTTCTGGCCCTCAGCTTTACTATCTGCCATAGGAGACCTGGTACTTTCTTTTTTTCACTTGTGTAGAGTATTTATGGTTCTATGACAATGACAGCTTCAGGACAAGGAACCCAGAATTTGGCATACATGGAATCAAGCAACAAGAAAAATCATGACCTTATTATAAAACCAAAGTAATTTTTAAATATCAGAGATGCAAGATTTTTTTCTCTGACCAGGTGGCATTGCTCCCAATGTCTGCTAAACACCTTTGTAATAGCAAAAGAATGCTCATTAACAAAACAATTGACCAATTTGCCAAAGGAAGTTTCATTACTCTTATCTCTTGTCTGTAGTTAGCCCATCAGTCTCCAGAGAGACATTTTCTGCCAGGAGAGCTGTATTATCCATCAAATCAACAGTATCCAAACACTAAGTAATATCTCAGATGCTGTCAAGTAAACACAAGATACTTCCATTAGTACTGCTGCAGTTTGTTAACTTGCTTAACGATTGAATTCCATTGGACTTCTCAATCTTAACCCCACAGAGAAAAGCACAGCTGAGAAACCAACCTTGTGACTTCTCCAGCACCTTCACCTGCACAAACTAGTCAGCTGTCTCATTACAGAAAGGGTAACAAGAGTACTCCTCCCCAAATGCAAGCATTCAATCCAAAACAGTGCCAGTTCCTTACCATGTGTAGCTTTCCAGCTGTACATTAGTTACAGAAGTGTGTAACTAATTAGTTACAGAACTGTGTAAATTAATCCCATAAATCCCTGCCAAGTGACAGTACTGAAGCTATAAAACAGCCACAGATCTGCAAAAGAGCAACTTATGAGTCTTCACCCCAGCCCTTAAAGTCTTGAATAGTAAGCAGGAAATACCCTGAAACTGTTCCTGCTTTTGTTAACTGAGCTAACAGCATAGTCTCTCCTTCCACCCAGATTAGTAAGGGTAGAGGAGGAAATGCCAACTCCCACTGTATTGGCTGTCGCGTGAGCTCCATCTTGTGCTTGAATTTGGAACAGGTCCTCAACACGGAGCTGAGCGGCAAGTACAGAACCGTGGAAGAACTCATTGCCAAGAAGACTGAGGAGTCGGCCGATGCCAGGAGGAAAGCCGGCATGTTGCAAGATGAAGCTAAAGCCTTGCTGGCTCAAGCAAACAGCAAACTCCAGCTGCTCAAAGGTAAGGCTGTTCTGAGGAGGTAAGTTGGCACCTAAGCACATGAAGAAATTTCACACTGTTATTGTATTCATCAGAAGAGAGGGGGGGAAAGGAACTTAATTGTTACTGAGGCTTGATCTCCTTTCCTTATTTTTATGGGCACAATACAGTTTTTTGAATCAGAGACTTCTATAAAAGAAGCTGAAACTTATAGGTGAGACAAACTTATGGTATGGCACCCATCACTGCTCCCAGAAACCACTACAGGGAAGGAAGGTAACTACTGTGCTTAGGTGATGACTAACCTGTTCAAGCAAGACCCCCATCTTCAAGCAGTACTGCCCTCCCACCACCCTGGAAAGCTGTAAAAACAAAAGCTAATCAGGACACAAGTTCCTGTTTACAGATTAATTTAACATTTACTGTTGACAGTTAAGGTTGAGTGAAACAGGAGGAGGCCATCTGCCCTGGGATGCTACCAGGGAGGGGAACTAGGTTTTCCTTCTAGTTTTGCCAGGCCAGGAACTCATTCTTCCCCTCTTAGCTATTCCTGCACAGTTTCAGTGACTTGCTGAATAGTCTTAATCACCAGAAGCCAAAACATACCACTGTTCTGTAAAAGCCACCATAGAGCAAAGAATGACAATTATTTTCACCATGAATCAAGGTATACTTTTGAATTTCCACCTCTGGAAAATAACTTCCTTGTTGCTTTACATCCCAATGTTAAGGAAACAAAAAGGTGCCATTCCAGCCTTTGCCTTCCCCCTCCCCCCCAATCAGATTATCTTGCAGAATAAAAATAAATATGAATAGTACTTCAGCCTTCAGCCATAACTAGAGCAATTTAAATGTCACTGCATTAAAACACCCCAAATTAAGCTGGTTTTTCCTTTCCTTTGCTTACAGATCTGGAAAATACATATGAAAACAATCAAAAAGTTCTGGAAGACAAAGCAAAGCAGCTGGTGGAGCTGGAAGAGACAGTTCGCTCCCTCTTACAGACAATCAGCCAAAAAGTTGCTGTTTACAGCACTTGCTTATAAATGGGAGTGGGAAATGCTTGTGTTCAGGATGGGTTTTACAAGTATTATACTAGTTCTTTTTGACATTACACTCAGACCTGATAAGGTGAATAGGTTTTATATTGACTTTAAAGTCACAGAACCAAAGACAAATAACTTTTTGATGTTGAAAATAAACAGTACTTTTGTATCTCTCTATGTACCTAGTATGACTCATTAAGTTCCTTCCTATTTTCAGTCGCTGCAATGGTACATCAGTTAAATCTTTAGCAAGTCTTGTTTTTAAACTGCTTAGAGATCTAATAAAATAGTGGCTTGAACTATGTAATTCTAAATAAGGGCTCCTATTACTGTGAAATATAGGATGGTGACTTAGACCAAATTACCAGTATATGAAGAAATACCATCCATGTGTGGTTAGCTAGTTACAGCACAGTACTCCGAAAGGATTATTTACCCTCTGCATGATATCCGTTTAGGCTTGACACTAGTTTCATGTCACTGATTAAGGAACACTTGATATGCGAAGTGGAAACTGAAGAGGTCAGTACTGAAGGGGTGAATGCACCAAATTTATGTGACAAACCAAGCCTGGAATATTAATCCTGTCTGGAAAGGAACTACAAAAGTTCACAGGGCACTTAGTGTGAACCAGTTAAGAAGCTGTATGCAGACAGATCTCTAAGAACAGCCTGTACTTAACACAAGTAGTAAGACTTTTAAGAAGTGCAAGAGTAGCATCCGGTTCACCATACTTAAAGTGATCTGTACAACAATGCACCTTCAGACAAACACACAGGATGGCACAAACTGATTTACAACATCCATCAGCTACACAAAGCACCAAAAAGTGCAATGTGCACATCCTGACTGCTAACTCTGACCCGAGGATTGTATCTTTGTACATACTTTGACTGGCACTTTACCTAACCTTCGCTAAACAGCACTGAAAGCCAGGACAACTATGGAAAGATACATCACTTACTAAGCAAACTGATGTTTAAATAAATTATTATCCCTAAGCTTCATCGGTTACAAATGCTACAACAAAAAAATCCGTTATAGGAATTGATTACCATACCAGCATCATACAGTTCACTGCCAGTACACTTAGCAGCTGTTGAAAAGTTTGCCAACTTTGCAACACTCAGGTTCTAACAGCCATCAGACCACTGACAGGTGGCTCAGTAGACCCTCTTACTTTTACAAACACTCTTTGTACACAACTAGAATGGGAATGACAGTGAGAGAAGTAACTAACAAATTTTAAGGCCTTGAATTTTATTTTTAAGTGTCTGGAAAAATATAGTCTTCAGTATAGTCTTAGCAGTATTCTTGATTAAAAGTTTCCATGACTTTCCAGACTTCATTTAACATGAACAAAATGAGATACAAGGATTTGTAACTGGTGAACCTCAGGTATGAACTGCAGTAAGACTGCTACAAGTATTCAGGGAGGTGGAGGGAGTGGCCACAAAGCTCTTTCTGAAAGAGCAGGGCTTGTAGAAGAAGTTGCAAAGCACACGATTAACACTTAACATCTACCTGTAGCAGGTAGAAGTGATTCTGAAATGCCAAGATCTTTTGGAAGAATCAAGCTTTTCTTCCCTCACTGTTGTCTCACCTTTGCTTTCCCTTCAGCAGCTTCCTACTGCCACCTGAAAACAGATCCACATTAACTCACTAACCCAGCATATCCATGAATCAGCTGGTGATCAGCTTAGTGAGCTGTCACGGTTTAACCCCATCTACATTTTAAAAAATTACCACAATAAAGAAGAGTATCACTGGTGTTTTGTTGATGAACTGGTATCTTAACAAAATGGTAATGCTGGCACACATTTCCATCACTCCAGATAATGGATCAATACTTGAATAAGAAGCTATAAAGAAGGTAGAAAGATGTAACTATCTTGTCTACATAAAACCAAGTAGCTGTTGCACCATTTTCTGAAGGTACACTTCTCATTCCACTGGCATAATTAAACAGGACATGCACAATACCAGCAGATATTAAGGTTTTCTTCAAGGCAGAAGAGCCTAACAAAAAAAAGAAGCGGCACCCTGGAAAACTTTAAAATGAGCTACTGGAATTGAGCATGTTCCCTATATAGATTAAGGATCTTCCAAAATGCCATTTGTTTGTGAGTTTCTTCACATTTAACAACCTAGACACTAATAGGATACAATCAGTAAACAAAACCAAAGAAGACCCTCCAGCCATGTCAAATATTTATTAAGCTCTCTTGCTACAGAAGAGACAGAAAGAGAGAACGAAATAGAAAACAGAAGAGAAGAATGTATGTCCTAATTGTGTGGAGAGCTGACACTGCAGCCCTTACGTGTGGAAGGTGCAGAATACCCTCGTGTCACAGCACTTCAGAGGAAGCGCTGCTGCACTACCCAGTGTTAGCATTTCAAGTTTAAGAGAGTTGGACAGTGGATGCTTTAAGAACAAAAAAGACTAGGTTGCAGTATGATGAATTTGTCTTCAATCCTTCATTTCTCAATCAGCACTCGATTTTTCCCCTTTGAGTTTTCAATATGAAAACATGACGTCTGGAGAATCACACACAAAAGTAATTTTCTCTTTAAAAAGTCAATATAATTTTAATTGACCTATATGAGCCCCTCTTCTCCCAACATCCTAACACTACTAGGTCAAAACAAGTTTTGGTACTCATATATAGGAAGTAGGTTAAATACTAAAGTTAATCCTTTCAGAAGGAACCACATTTTTGTGCGGAAATGACAGTGGCATTTTAAGTGCCAGTGGCATTACAAGTGCCAGCATTCAACTGGTTTATTGTATCACTACTTCAAATAAGAAAACATAAGGTATGCTGGACAGTTACCCAGAGTTCTGACCAGCACACCTGATAATCCCATGCAGCAGCAAAATATTTGGTTTGAAAAAGTGAGTTCTGTCAGGCTGCTTTTCTGCAACATTCATTATGTAAATAAACATGTAATTTTAAGTATTTACTTTACAGAGACTGGATAATTCCACTTGTTCCAAACTCTACTTGTTTAAATATTTGATGTTTAAAATTAAGAGATTCACTTATTTCGGTCCTAAAATCCTCAGACTCAACCTTCCATAAGGGCCCACAGTCCGTTTTCAGAGATGTATTATACACGTACAAAGATCTGCTCTTCCATTTTAGAAGTTGATAGCTTTGCCAAAGGACGCTGCCAGGTTTGCTTCCCTGAAGGCTTCTGACACTGTCTGTAGAGAGCAAACACAAAAAATTACAAGTCATTAATCATCATGGCCAGGCTTCGCAAACGAAGATTTGAGACAAGTCATTAATAGGTAGTATATGTAATAACAGCATGTCTGTGTACTGGTGTTCAACAGTCACTTCAGGAAAGACTTACTGGATGGGCATGGCAAACTCTGGCTACATCTTCACATGATGCTCCATATTCCATAGCAAGGGCAGCTTCATTGACCATTTCACCAGCACCCTGTAATTTAATAGTACTTGCGATTAGCACAAATCCTTATGCAGTTGTCCAGGTTCTCCTGAATCAGTAATAGCTTGTAAATAAGCATTTTTTGCTAAAAAAGAAAAGTTGTGTATTTTAACTAGCACTTCAGCTGTGCTCTAATGTAAGTTGTAAGTACTTATTTGGTGACTATACTCAAACCTAGTTTAAAACTAAATATAATTCTTAATGAGGGTATTTTTTCTGTCATTGCTGAGAGTTGTACAAAAGCTGGGCATTTTTCCACTATAGTTAATATACACATTCTCAAAACTACAGTGTACCTCATTGCTGAAGTGTACCCAAAACTTCAGTGTCCCCCTGGAAACTGAAACAGATAACTAGGTAAGCAAGAGCATGTTACTACATCTGCACCCCCCCTTTGTATTTGTTGTATGTATGCGTATTTACTTCGGTAAAATTTCTTTGAGGAGTCAAAAACAGTGAAGTCTCCTGTTACATTTTTAGCACTTAGATCCACAATCATAAGATTTTTTCCCCCAGCCCTTTCCCAATGAAGAAAATGATATTTATTGGTGTGAGTCAGGCTTAAGTTGTGTTTCCTTTTAAGTCGTGTTGATTTCTAAATTACTGGAACTGCAAGAGAAAATAACTGGCATAATGTTTTATTGAGACCAGCTTTAGTGTTTCTCTTAAATAAGAGAGCTGTACACAAAGATGTACGAAAGTGTTTCTGCATAGCTCTTTCAAAAAAAAAAAATATTTAAAGCTAAGAAATGAAATGGAGAAAGATTAGGGTCTAACTAGGGAAGAGGAGGGAAATACTTTTCCCAAACAGGGAATATCCCAAAGGTTTTTTTATGCAAAGTTCCATGAGTTACGACTCCAGAGCTGGTGACTGCAAGATAAGGATACCAGCTTTGCTGATGTCTGAAGTCAGAGAGAGGGGAAAAAAGAAAACACCAACAAGAAAGCCACAGTCTTTTCAGCTCCCTCAACTTCCAAAACTTAAGTAATTTCTGATGTTCTCTCAAGTGTTTGGCAGTATTCATTAAAAAAACTCAGACAAAACAAAACAAAGCAAAACCAAAAAAAAACCCAAACAAACAACAACCCCCAAACCAAACCAACCAACCAACCAACAAGACAACCCACCACCACCAAAAAAAAAAAACCAACACACCAAAAAAACCCATTCCACAAAACTCAGAGAAACAAACACTGCTTCTCCTAACTCAACCACTAGTCTTAAAACTGTGCAACACTAAATAAAAAGACACTTACAAGACCAAGACAGCACAATGTACAATACTTACTGAGCCTAAAATGTGAGCACCCAACATCCTGTCTGTTGATTTTTGACTAAGTATCTTCACCATGCCATCTGTGTCAGCATTTGTCTTTGCTCTACTGTTTGCAGCAAATGGAAATTTCCCAATTTTGTATTCTACACCCTACAAAACAGATGTTCTTGAGTTAATGACCAACAAGAACAATGTAACCAGACAGAAAATTTGCTAAGTACATGAACAGAAGTAATACAGAAATGAAACACAGGAGACACACAGAGCAATGTATAAGAACCACCACCAAAAGTGGCATAAGGGGTTAATAAAGATTAATTTGCAAATAAACAATATTAATGTCACAGAATGGAAGTTACTAAAACTGTGATTCTTGGGAGAGTGGTATGCAGAAAGGAATCATACCCTAAGCAATAAATTCAGATGCAGAAATTCTGGATAAAGTAGTTAGAAAAACTACTATACAGTGAAACCACACCCAAGGTGGAAAAACAGTTTTTGTCTGAAAAAACAAAAGGTACCTCTTCTTTCAGCTGTTCTTCTGATTTGCCAACCCAGGCCACTTCAGGGTGAGTGTATATCACAGAGGGAACACAGTTGTAGTCAATGTGAACCGCTCCCCCAGCCATGCCTTCTACACAAAGAATGCCTTCATCCTCAGCTTTGTGGGCCAGCATAGGTCCAGCAACTACATCACCAATAGCATAGATGCTATCAGACCAATGAAACAGAATAAGACACTGTTTAAAAACATCCTAGCACACCTAGGCTACCTTATATAAGTCTGTTTGAAACAAGTTACTGAAAACTCTAATCAAAATAGATTAAAATACTACATTTTTGCAGTTTTCACAGAAGGAACACACTTCAAGAGGTACTTAGTGACATGAAATACACAGTGATTTCTAAGTTACAAAACTTCAAAGGCTGAATAAAATTTTTTAGTTCCTGAAATAAAACATATATCTTGAGTTTTCCCCTCAGAAAATAAATATATATTCTGCCATTAAAAATATAAAGTGCTTTAGTAGGTTAAACTTTAAATATAAGTGTTCTGCTTAAAAAAAAGAGTAAGAAAAAAATTAGTCTTACTTACTTTGGAATTTTGGTTTGGAATCTGTTATTGACTGGGATTCTCCCCCTCTTATCAAGTTCAATTCCAAGATCCTCAAGACCCAGATTTTTTGTAAAAGGACGCCTACCGATGCAAACTAGGAGCACATCACAAGTTATTACTTCTGCCTTGCCACCAGCAGCAGCTTCAACACTATAGAAAAATAAGGAGAAAACCACTAAGCTGTAAACTTGCAGCATTGCCTCTCTCTGACTAGTAACTGCTATGACTCAGGTGGTGACCTGCTGGCTGGATGTGACACCCAAAGCATTTGCATTCAGCCTGCCCCGTGCTTCCTCCCGGCAAGACTTTAGGAGTAGAAGAGGGAGGAAGGAACAACACCTCTTACTACATTTCTTAACAACTGTTAGAGAAATTTAGGGTATATTTTCACTAGCAAGTAGCATGACCCATACAGCAAAACAATTGGTGCTGAGTACTTGGCATCCAAAGTACTTTTGAGGTGGGGTAGGGCCATGTATTCTGAGCTTTAGGCCTGAGTACCAAACACTTATCAGCAGCTGCCCTGCATCACATGCATCCCCTCAAGTGCATCTTGTGTTTAACTACATTCAGAACAAGTTCAGTTCACGTGCTCTCGGAGTGCAAGAAGCAAAGCGTGGTAAGTGAAGATAAGTAGGAAGTGTGTTTCAAAACCATAGTCCTGAAACAAAATAAAACTCTAGATGTAGAAACAGACTATGTGAGAAATCCAACCAGCATCAGCATGGCATGTAAAGAAGCCCAAACTCTGGACCTTGACAGTGGAGGACAGATCTCCCTAGCTATGGTGATACAGCAAATACAAGTCACCATCTAAAGACTTCAGTGAAGAAACAATTAAGTTTACTTTCATTAAGTAACATTAAGCATTTTGTTAAACCAAAATTTCTGCATAGAGAATATGTTAACACAAACTTTTACAAAGCAAATAGGCTTTATGTGTTTCTGTACTAACTATTCATCTATAAAACTTCAAAGGGCTTGAGTGGGATCATTAAAATAACACTCTTTGGGTAGTTTCATTTATTTCTGCTCAAGAGCAATAAAATCTCTGCCACACTTACTTTGACACAAGAGGAGGTATAGACAAAATGACCCTTCCAGTAAGCAGCCAAGATTTAATGGCTTGAAAATGACTGTATGAACAATCATATTTATGCTAATTATACCAGAAGCAAATATCTTTCATGAAAAGAACAATTTAGAGTTCTATTTTTGTTAGTGATCTCATTATAACAACACTGGTTTTATCCCACCACACCCGCAACTCAAGTCAATGGACCCTCTCCTGTATAAGCAACCTAGGACTCAATAAATCCAAAATTATGAGCTCTGTAAACTACAATAGAGGATAAAAATTATATGTTACTAAAGAATTAAGTTTCATTCTAAATGCATTTTTTTCCTGTTTAAAAAATAATATCAGACTGCATTTTTAAGCAGGTTTGATGTATTGGGAGGAAAGATATATATGGCATTCCCCCAGTTTTATGTTAAACACTTACGCTACATCGATTTTTCCATCTGGTCTCTTGGTAGCACCAGTAACTTTGGTATTCAGTTTAAACTTAAATCCCTGCTTTTGAAGAATACGTTGGAAATTTTTAGAGATCTCCATGTCAATTCCCATTCCACCAACGTGGCCCATGAACTCAACTGCCGTGACATCTGCACCAAGGCGCTGCCAAACTGACCCCTGTAGTCACAACAACACAGGTAAAGAGAGTTCTTAAAAAGCAAACTTCAGACACTTTTACTCTAATACTTACCACAGACTGTAAACTTTTTTAAAGTAGGACAACACATAACAGCACTGATCAGTTTCTACAAATGTTACAGTGTAAAATGAAGAAAGTCCAACTGTCCCCAACCTTTCCATCAAAAAAAGTATTTGCATACCCCAAACTGCGATGATTGAATTTAGTGAATTAGGCTTTTAAAGAAATAGCTAACAAAATAACTAAGTATAAAACTCATGTATGTTTTACATTATAGGTATAAAAGAAATTCAAAATCAAAGATTTTGAAAGCAAAACTCAAAGGCAATTACTAGTGGTGTAACAGCACTAGAAATTAATCAAAACAAAGCACATTAGGGAAGTTTTATGCAATAAAATGGAACCACTGCTGCTTCTGTATGTATTTAGCCATATAAGCATAACCACAATCATCAGCCTCTCCAACAAAACCCACATAAACCCTACTTATCTGCAGTCACCTATACCCATCCAGTAAAGAATTTCACTTTGCTTTCTCCTTCCCTGCTTAATGGTCAGCAGGCTAAGCAGATGTGCAAAGTTTCAAGCAGTTGCAAGACTAGCAAATATAAATTCTTTTTGAACTCTGTATGTATGAGGCAAAAGGACTCAGACCAAGATGAACTACAAAGTCTCCACTCCTTTGATTGTACATATTCTATCAAACAATCATATCATATTAAAAATTTCTTGGGATTAACTCCTAAACACAACAATTCATCGTGAGTTAAAGTGAACTTCCCTTAAAATAGAGTTGTCTCATCTATACATAGAGCAGGTATAAACCTCAGCAAAAGTTAAACACCATCTCCCCACACCCTCGCCCTTCCAAAAAAGAAAAATAAAACATGTGAGGCCCTATATGTTCCCCTCTCATCTCTCTGTTTATCTAAGCAGCTGTAGAAGTACTGATCCCACAAACACATCCCAGCTTTTCTGGTAAAAAAAGGAGCTAGCAGGCTCTGAAGTCTGAGCAGATTCATTACAACCCCCTCCACTGTTAAATCACAGCAACATTGTCAAATACAACAAAAAGTAACGCCCTGTTCCTTTATAAGTTTAAGACCAAGTAGTTTAAATACACTCTCACCAGTTCCACACCAATGACTCCTGCACCAATGACAACCATCTTTTCAGGAACTTTTTTCAGTGACAGCGCACCAGTGGATGACACGATATTATCTTCATCAATCTAATGACAAAGACATGCACGAATGGAGGTTTTACAATCTCTTTTACACATTATATAGGAAACACACAGAAGGTGAGGTGCAGTTAGATGCAAAAAATTGTACACATTAAATTATGTGGCTATAAGACACTGGAAAAAAGTACATTTAACATTTCAAATACGTACAGTAATTCCTGGGAAGGGAGCAACTTCTGAGCCTGTGGCTATAAGTATGTTCTTTGTATTGATAACCTGTGTGCTGCCATCTTCTTTAGTTGCAGTGACTTGGTTTTTGCCAGTTATTTTTCCAAACCCAGATACATGTACAACCTTCAGCAATCAGAACACAGTAAAGTCAGATTCAAATTCCTTATGTAAGTTTGGCTACATTTCATTCAAACCTCACTAATGTTTAGAGGGGCTGCTAACACACACCTTTACATCACTATCTGGTACAAATCACAAAGTAATCATATACTATTCTTCTAAGTAGATTAAGAATGAAGGAACTGATCATTTCAAAGTTTTCTAGAAGAGAAGCATTCAAATTCTGCCCTTGTTGAGTCAGCCACTCAAATAAATTTATGTGGCAATATGGAAGTGTAAAAAGCAAGAAATTCAGATCAGAAAAATGGATATACCTTAGTTTACAATCCAAACTAACCTTGTTTTGCTTAAATAAATGAGCAATTCCACCTGTTAATGCCTTCACTGCACTACTCTTCTGTTCCATCATCTTCTCTAGATTCAAACGGATTCCTGAAACTAAGGTTGAAAAAAAAAAAAAAAAGAAAACTTACATCAAGCATTGCTGTGTTTTAATCTTAAAGGACCTAAGCTCAACACAATTAACAGCTCTGATATGTTGAATGGCCCTACTAAATGCTAAAGGTTACACTGAACAACACCTATGTTAAAAATCAGTGTTACACTTTGCAAATATAACTTATCTATTTAGGGTTTGAGGAGCAAACACATGCCCCTAAGCCTCCAAATGACAGATAAAGGATATTATTTATAAAGTCTAAAAAGTTTTCTGATCAGAAAACCACAGCAGTCGGATTTGAAAGATTAAATTTGCTTGTTGATGGAAACCATTTATATTAACAGTCACCGACAGTTGTTCTTCACACTCACTTTCAATTCCTCTATTAGCGAAATCTTTTCCATGGGCCAAGTGATACAGATGTGAGTTGTTCAGCAAGGCCTAAAAAAGACACATAAAAATGTGAACTGGGACATACATTCACAAGAATGAGTTATTTATTATATTATCAGAAAACAAAAATCTGATATTATGTGCAAAACATCTCGCTATTAAGAAAAAGCCTGATGTAGGTATTAAAAAAGGTATACTTCAAACACCAAACCTGTACACAGTAACTCTTCCTGAGTGTTTTATAAAGTTACATAGCTAACACAGAAATAGAAAATGGTTAAATCCACACCTATCCTTTCTGCACATTTCAACCAGAGAAACTGATAATTACTCCATAGGGATTAAAAAAGTAGAGCAAAAGAAAGATGATTCTGACTGCCAAAGAGAAGATACAGAAAACCTGGATGAGGAAAATCTACACTGAAATGCCTGTTAAGATTTTTGCCTGTGTAGACACATGTGAGTTCAATTTTCAGTTGTTGTGCTTAAGTTACTAAAATTGCATAGCTAGTTGAGCTGAAGCTGGATTGCTAGGAGCTAGCTCAGGTACATGGGTTTCCAGATTTCACAGATAAAATTAGCACAGTTTTTATAAGGATGGCTATAAATCAGCAGCTCGAAATGCAGAACCTTAATTATTGTATTTTGATTAGAAATAACAATATAGTTAGGGGAGGATCTTACTAAGCAAACTGATTCTTTCACTATAGCCACCTCTAAGATGAAACTATCAGTATCTTCACAAGAAGGTCAACAGTGCAAGTCTGCACAGACTGAAATCTAAAGCAGGTACAGTAAAGGATTAAAAGGACATTTTGAGACACTTGGCCTATATAGATATGCTTGAGTGGAACTAATACTATCAAAAAAAGATCATTCCATTTTTATGACTAAGTCTTATCAACTGTCTTAAAAATTAATGTCTCCATTTCACATAACTGTCACCACCCCAAACCTGTAACATCTACATTACTTATAGATACAGCCATCGCTTAAGACCTCAGCAATTAGAAAGAAAAAATCCATGCCCAATGTATTATTTTGGGTGGCTTTCCAGAAAGAAATATTTGAATAATCTGCTACTGCCTAAGTGTATGCAGCCTACATATCCATTTCTTAAGAAGTTTATTGCCATTGAAACAAATTCTGGATAGCATTCAAGTTTAACCATGGGTTCAGTAATATTTTTGTAAGAACTTCAACAGATGAAAAACAAAAAGGGACTCAAGAAGTCAAACAGATCCTGGCAGAGTTCCAAACTTTCAAGGTAACATTGTGTAGACTGAAATTTTTGAATGGTGCCTCTGTATACCACGCTATTATGAGCTTCATTAGAACTATTATTAAAATCTTTAGAAAAATTAATATATAATTTAAAAGAACTTGGTATTTATATTGTATTTTCTCTTCCCATGCTAATAGAACCTCTTGAGCAAACAGATTAGAAATAGCAACACAGTTAGGAGAGACCTTGTTAAGAATATTATGGTTTTCACTACAGCCATTACAAACCTGACATTACCAGTGTCTTCCTTCACCTGCTGGGTGCAATTGAGGCAGACTCCTTTCACCAGCAACAGCACTATTCTTACAAGGGCCTAGGTCTGAAATTACTTAAAACTGCATTGACAATGTCAAATATTAGGTTCTTCTGAACTACTTCTTCCTTCTCCTTCCTTTCAGAGTGCATGCCTTGGACTCACCCTTTCCCCACCTGCACTACTCGACACAAGCACCACTAGCCCCACCCTCCAGGCCATCTCTGGGGCTGGTGACAATACTGATATAGTTTAGATGAATATTTCAAGAGCTAATCAACTAGGCTCTTGCTACAGCCAATGGAGAGAGACAGGTCTCTTCCAAGCTTGGTGCAGTCAAAGAAACCAAAAAAATCTCTAATTTAGATTTACTTTCTCTTCATCTAGTGACACAGTTCAGCATTCCTTTAACATAAGAACATCATCTTAGACAAAGCTACAGGTTTATTTTTAAGAAACTGATAGGAGGAGTTCATGGTATAAGAGGTACAACCATCTGAAACAGTTCAGGTAGACAAGAGATAACAGTCTGAAACAATAGTCATTACTGGTTACAACAGAGACTCAATACCTCAGAGTGAGGAGATACATCTGTATGTACCTCTGATTTTCATACATGTCCTTTCTCCCACCTGGGAAGGACCACAATGCAAAATTTGCAAATAAAACATTTCTACTGAGTAATAGAAATAGTAAATAAAATTTTAACCCTTTTTGTTCCTTATGTTTATTTGTATCCTCAGCTCATTTACTTTACAATTTTGATTTTTAAATAACGTATGTCTGTCTTTAGAAACTCCTTAATCTTCTTCCAAGTGATGCATATAATGTCTGCTGGTTTTAATGCAGTTATGACAAACTATGTACACTTACCTTGGATGGAATACATCCAACATTCAAACAGGTTCCACCTAATGTTGCATTTTTTTCTACACACACGGTCTGAGGAAAAAGAACAGGAGAAAAAAAGAACTTTTAGCAATACTGTGCTACCATTTCCTTATAGGATATATCACAATTTAGAATTAATGTCAGAGATCAGGCAATTATCTAGTAATCCTACCTCTGCAAATGTCTCATTAATTTAATTGCTAAATTTATTTTGCAGCTCAGATTTTCCTTCCCTCATTTTTTTCCTAACTTAAAACCCATGAAATAGTTCTTTGTCACAAAATTCTCCACCAGAAGACAGCCACGTTCCCCACTGCACCATTCATCCTTTTATACAAGTTTAAGTGCTATCCTACTTCAAAAATCTACAAAGTTGCCTCAAATAAATACAACACAGTTCTATGAAAAACATTCTCCTTACAAGTACAGAAAAAAACCTGCAAAAAGCAAAAAATATAAATCTTGCAAAAGATGCATAAAAACAAGCAAACAACAGATAAGTGAACCAGCACAGAGTAAAATCTCATGAAGTAATAATTTCTTTGAAGAAAACTAAACAGAACAGAACCCCCAAGCCACAAACATTTCCCCCTCTGAACACACTACCCTGTAAGACCCATTCCTATAAAGTTATGCCACTAGCTATAAAGAAAGAAAAAAATAAAAATCAAGTAAAGTAAAACCCAACAAAAATAAGGTCAATACCAAGAGTTATGGAAAACATTCCATCTCCTTCTCATCAACTTACCAACATCAAAGTGTGCAAAGGACAAAAACAACTGCCAAAACTTCATATAAAAACAGCAAGAGGGAGAGAATATCGTAAAATATTTTTACAGAAGCAAAAGAATTGGCATCTCCTTCTTTGCAAGGTGCATACATACTCAAAACAATCATTCCTTGGTTTATACTCTAAGGGCTCCAGTCTGCTGAAAAGCAATTACCCAGGTGAAACCCTTTCATAATTTCTTTAAACTGCTGCTTTTGTGCTAGGGTAGGGGTGATGCTAACAGCAAGAGCAGAATTCAAATTACAAGAAGACGGTGAGATGCTGATCCTCTACCTACCCTTCCTCTTGTTTCAAGCACACAAATATATAAAACACAATCCAAGAGCTTTACAAGCTGCACTGTGGATCAAACAGCACCAGACTGCTCCTGCCTTTACTCAACAAGGATGTTCTGCCTCATCCGCTTTAAATCAACTTCCCTGACAGGGCCAGGCAAAGCTGTTGGAAAGCCAATGCCCAGAGAACACTGTTGGCAATAACACGGGATGCTGTGTTGGTGACACAAGGACTTAATGCTTGTGCTAGCAGACATAGCACTGAAATTGGAAGTTAAAAGTTCAGGAGTTCAGTAGAGCAGACTCAGTTTCTTCCATGGATGATGTAACTCTAGAATCTATTTTTCTGCCAGTCTCAGAAAAACATCTTACATTCCTCAAGGATGCCAAAAATATCGTCCATGTTTATTCAGTGCTACAGGTGACACGCATAAATACGTCCAAGGATTTTGCCCTTTCTGACTATCTGTAAAGCAGTGTGACATGATTATTTTTTGCTATGATGAAAAACAGAATCCAGGGTACTTTTTAACCTCCTTGTGTGGTATCCTATTGTTAATCAGAGATTTGAAGGACTCAAGGACAGCCTTGTTCCAAGAAAAGCTGGCATATAGGCAGCCACAAAAATATCTTTAGAATAATCAAACATGAATTTATGTGGCTGAAGGCCTTAATCTTAATTAAAACCCATAGCATGGAGCACCTTTTTTCTCAACTATTAATAGCTCAGTAATAACATACACCTCAAAGCAAAAGTATTTATTATGACAAAAAAAAATTCACTGACATGAATAAAGACGAGTCAGTTATCTGCACTAGGTCACAGACAGATGTAAAACTTAATGGAAACTCATATATTTATATTTTGATACATTATACATTAGAAGGCTTAAAGATACCCAAAGATACACAGTTGTGAGACTATTGACCACTGAGGGACAACACTCAGAATTACAGACCAGTTCAGTTTGAAGGTACCTCCTCTGGTGGCCTTCTAGTCAAACCTTCAGCTCCAAACACAGTCAACACCAAAGACATCAAGGGAGATGATTCTCCCCCTCTGCTCTCATGAGACCCCACTTGAAGTGTTGTGTCCAGCTCTGGGGCCCATACAAGGCAGATGTGAACCTGTTGGAGTGAGTCCAGGGGAGGCCATTAAGTTGATCACAGGGCTGGAACACCTCTCCTATGAAGACAGGCTGAGAGAGATGGGGTTTTTCAGCCTGGAGAAGGCTCCAGAGAGACCTTAAATCAGCCTTCCAGTACCTAAAGGGGGCTAACAAGAAGGCTGGAGAGGGACTTTTCACAAGGGCATGAAGGGACAGAAATGGCCTTAAGCTGAAGGCGGATAGACTGAGATTAGCTATCAGGAAGATATTCTTAACTGTGAGGGTGGTGAGGCACTGGAACGGGTTGCCCAGAGAAGCTGTGGTTGCCTCATCCATGGAAGTGTTCAAGGTTGGGCTGGATGGGGCCCTGAGTAACGTGGTCTAGTGGAAGGTGTCCCTGCCCATGGGAGGGGGGTTGGAATTAGATGATCTTTAAGGTCTCTTCCGTCCCAAACCACTCTGTGATTCTATGACATATCAGGTGGCTCAGGGCCTTGTACAGCCAAGTTCTGAAAATACTGAAAGATGAAGACTACATGCTGTCTGGGGCCCTGTTCCAGGAATGGAGCTCCATTCATCAACAGCAGTTCCTGTCCTTACCAGCTGGTCAAACCAGCTCATTTTGATCATGAAGTCTATTCTTCATAATTCAGAAACATTGTGACATATCAGCCAGCAGAAACATGTTCAAGACTGCTAGCACTGCCTTCTCAGGTTTCCAAATAATTAAAAGAATAATGCAGTGCTAAGAGAGTCGGTTGGTCTCATGTTAAGGAATGAAGACAAAAACATATCCTGCTGAAGTAACACTCTGGATTTTTCTAAAGTTTAAAAATACGTAGAATGCGTTATGCACATATAACTCTCAATAACAATGACACATCATTAGTACACAGACACAAGCTGCCTCTTCCAAAAGGCACTCAAAGACAACAAGCAGAGATGAACACAAATAAATGTAAATAAGATACTGCAGTATTTCTACATACATATTTTTGCCTCTAAAATTCTCACATGGAAATGGAATTCCTCTACCCACATTCAAAAAGCCTATCAGTTGAATGTGGCTTTTCCCCCTTTTGAGCTCACTCAGTCTGTTCTTCAGGAGTTTTCCAGTGGCTTTTTTGTCAGTCATTGTCTTGTCTTTTTTTTTACTTTGTTGAGAGAAAAATTCCTTCCTATCATTGCTTTCCCAACTTCTCTTTCACAGGGCTATAAGCCCACCTCAATTATCACTTCCAATCAAAAGCAAGCTGTCCTGAGCAGCTCTGTCAGTAGCAGGGCTATAGACAGTCATCCCATCACATCTCCATTTCAAATTCTGTACAATCTGGGTAAGCAAGGTAACAAAAGATTAACGAAAGATGTCAACAGCATCTGGTGGCCCAAGATGCAACAGAAGAATTTCAGTATCATGCAAACACCCTTTACCTGGGTGACTATGCTATGAGTGAGGTCTCATCTTACCTTAAACCCAAGCTGAGCTGCTTTGATAGCAGCAACATACCCTCCAGGACCAGAGCCGATAACCGTGACATCGGCATCAACTGAAACAGAGAACATTTGAGTTACTTTTGTTTCAGCAATTAAAATTTTACTGCAGGAACACCACTTTTTAATTTCTGAAATAACTCACGTTTGAAATTTGGTTTTAAAAAGCAAAATATTAAAAAATTATGCAAGTTCATAAACTTGGTTTAGATAAGGAAGTTACATTTCGTACCTGAAAGTAACTTTCTGGACAAAGGGGAAGGTTGTGTGGAGGTATTGATTCCACAGTAAAAACAACCAGTCTTAAATTTCACATGGAAAATAATGTAAAATGACACGAAGACACTGAATTCCTCATTCCTTTTGCTACAAATCCTTTAAGAACTTAACCCAAGATGTGTCAATAGCTTATTATACATTTTTCCAGCATAGCTTCTACTGATGTTTAGAGCAAAAGATAAATGATTACTGAACACCACAAAAGCAGTTTATAAAGGGGAATATACGGCTGCAATAGGTATCTATGCAACTTCTATTGATTATAAAGCAGCAGAAGCTATGAACTTTGTACCTAGTTCATATCTTGTAACCACACTCTCCTCTGGAATATTAATTATATACGATACAAACAGTGATGATAAAGCTCAACTTCTATTTACAGGTTTAGCTTGACATTAAATAATGTAAATAAACCACTATTTTCATCCAAATCTCCACACTGACATCAATTCCACTGTCACCTGGAAGACTGATTTCTGAGTCTGAAGTAATGCTTTGTTTTTTGTAGGGAGTTTGGGTTGGTTTTGTAAAAAAAAAGTTTTGACAATTAATTACCTTGATCAGCATAGGATCTTTGTGACACTGCACAAATTCCCTGGAGACCATGATGAACCCGATCAAAACGGCTTCTCTAGAAAGGGAAACAAACTTAGTTTTAAAAGCTGATGTTTACCTTTGAGGAAAAATAAGCTCTCAGCTACACACAAGCGAACACAATTCCTGTCACCAGTTAACCAAAACAGGAACAGCACGAATAAAGAGACGCAGCAGGCACCGACTGGAACAAGAGGTAAAAGTTGCTCTGCCACCTCAGCCTGTCACCACACCTCCTCTCAGGTCATGCTCGCCTAAGGCTGCCTCGATCCAAACAAACTTTCAACCCTTCGCACAGGGCTCTCAAACCACTTAACGACATAAGTTAGACATCTACAGGAGTTTGAGTCTCGTTGTTCCGTAACCATCCCTTCAGCCACTTCCTACGAACATCCCAGAGGAGGTTCCGGTGGGCAAGGTTTTTTATCCTTTACAAGAAGGTAATAGGACAGCACAGAACAGCTGGTACAAGCATCTCAAGGGCGGATCACTCCGTAACTGGAGCAGAGGATGTCCCTGGAAGCATTTGCGAAGCCCCCGGTCCCGCAGCCCAAGGGCGGGGATCACCCCCTCTGACAGCGGCGCTTTCCGCAGCCGCCGCGGCCTCTGCGGGCCGGGCACCGGCAAACACACGGCAGCAGAGAGGCTGCTCCCTGGGCCCAGGGACCGTGAGGATCCCGTGGCCGCCGCGTCCCCTCTGTCCGGCCGAGCTGCGACGGGAGCGACAACAGAGCAGGGAGGAGAGCGCGGACAAGGCCCGCACCCGCTGCGGCTCCGCCCGCCCGCCCTCCCGGCCGCTCCCGGCGGGGTGCGGGGGTCGAGCAAACCTCAGGCCAGAGCTGCCCGGCACGACCCCGTCCCCTGCCTCTCCCCGGCCGCCCCGCCGCCGCCGTACCCGAGCGAGCGCGCAGGAGACGCGGCCCCAGCGCTGCATGTCTGCGGTACCGCCGCGGCCCTCAAGGACTCCGCGGACGCGCGCAGGCGCAGGCGCAGTGGCGGGCGGGAGGGGGCGGGGCCAGGCGGAGCGCGGAGCCGTCAGGTGTGGGCGGGTCGTCCTGTTCCAACCTCTGCGAGCCAGGGGCACTTGGAGAGGGGACACAGGGGCGCGTCCCGGGGGCGTTGGAGTGTTTCCAGAGAGGGGCGATCCACGACCATCCTCTTCCAGTGCTCTGCCACCCTCGACATAAAAAAGGTCTCCATGCCGAGGTGAAACTTCTTGGGTTTCAGTTTATGGCCGTTGCTCCTCGTTCTGTCTCTGGGCACCACTGAAAAGAGCCTGGCACCACCTTTTTGGCACCCACCTTTGAGATATTTATAGACTCATAGAATATGCAGCGTTGGAAAGAACCCATTAGGATCCTTGAGTACAATTCCTGGCCCTGCACAGGACACTCCAAGAATCACCAAGTGCCTGAAAACATTGTCCAAATGCTTCTTGAAGTCAGACAGGCTTGGTGCTGTGACCACTTCCCTGGGGAGCCTGTTCCAGTGCCCAAATACCTTCAGAGAGAAAAACTTTTTCCTGATGTCCAACCTAAACCTCCCCTGACTCATTTTGCTGTTGTGTCCTCAAATTCTGTCTCTGGTCACAAGGGTGAAGCGATCGGCACCTGCCCCTCCGCTTCCCCTTGTGAGGAAGTTGTAGTTGCTATAAGGCCTCCCCTCAGTCTCTTCCAAGCTAAACAAACCGCAGCCGCTCCTCATAAGACTTTGCCTTTGGGCCCTTCACCACCGTTTTGGCTCTCCTTTGGACATTCTATAGTAGCTTAATGTCTTTTTTATATTGTGGTGACCAAAACTCAAGATGAGGCCACACCGCTGCAGAGCAGAACGGGACAATCACCTCCTTTGACGGCTGGCAATGCTGCACCTGATGCCCTCCAAGACATGGTTGGCCCTCCTGGCTGCCAGGGCACTGCTGGCTCATATTCAACTTGCCATTTATATGTATTGATGAGATCCCCTCTCAGTCTTCTCCACACTAAACAAGCCTAGCCTAGATGTTCCAGTACCCTAATCTTTGGCTCTCCACTGGACCCTCTTCAGTAGCTCCATGTCTTTCTTGTGTTGAGGAGCCCAAAACTGGACACAGTTCTCCAGATGTGGCCTCACTCTGGACAAGTGGAGTGGGAGCATAACCTTCTTCAACCTGCTTCCCAGTGCACCTCAGAATACTATTGGCCTTCCTGGCTGCAAGGGCACACTGCCAGCTCTTAGTCAACTTGTCATCCACCAAGGTCCTTCTCAGCAGAGTTACTCTCTAGCAGGTCAACCCTCAACCTGTGCTGGTACTTGGGAACTCATGGCCCCACCTGGCACCAAAGGGAACATTGGGATGAGCAAAGCAGCCCCCAGACCCACATTGACTGCATTAGAACAACACCTGGGCACAGACAGAGAAAGGGAAACTACATGTTTCAGAAGGAAACCTCTCCCATCTGATTTACAGTGAAATCTGCATAAATTCAACTTTTAAAATATTCAAAAATATAAAATCTAAGATATTTTGGAAAGACTTTCAAGTGACTTGGAATAATTGCTCTCATTTAATCAGGAAAAAAATGAACTAGAATAATGAGACATTTTTATAATTTTTCCAGATATTTTATATATTTTTCCAGAATATATATTTTCTTCTAGAATAATAGATTGCACACTCTGCAATCCTTTGTTAGTTGCACTTCAGCACATTCGTATTTGAAAACTTAAATCCTTTGTTGCTTGTGGGAAGAAAGCAATGGTCCAAGACCATTTTCCTTCTATACCGAATTCCACATAGTTTAGAATATGGAAAATATTCTGTTCAATTTATGCTAAAAACTCCTAAACGTGGCTTTAGGTAAGTAATATGCAACATAGATCATAACATTGATTCCCTATCTTGCCTGAAATTGAAAATATTTTTTGTGGAAAAAAGTTCTCAAGTTTTCTAGATATACTTTCTAATTTCTTTCATAAAATCAGTGTTTCCATCAGGTGGCAGTGTTCTGCTATTTCCCACACAGCCAGGGAAAAATGAAAGGCCATTTTCAATGGCTGGAATCCCTCTTCTGTCTTTCTACATAAGGATTTCTCTGATTGCCCCTCCAGGAACACTGGAGACTGTATGTGCCCAATATTTTTACATTTAACCCCCTAATTCTTAAGCTGCCTGATGAGAAAGCATCCCGGAGTCCTCAATGCTTCCAAGGATCAAGTCCCCATCGTTTCCTCCCATCCTCACTAACCAAACAGAATAAAACCCAAAAATGCTCCAGCTTTAGCATGCTAAAAGTACTAAGCCAACATGTTTTGATTCTCCCAGTCCTGATACACATTGGGGTACTGGAGCTCTCCCCTCTGCACTGGCAGTGCATGAGTATTTTTAAGGAAATTACTTTTTTTTTCAGATATAAATCTGAATGCCATGAGCAGGTTGTTATTTCTAGCAGTGAACAAGACCATGTTCTGCAACAAGAAATGACTGAAGCCTCTGAAGGCCATGCTTCGGACATGTCATGTCTGACTAAGAGAGCAATGTCTGGGTAGCCAGTGCAAGAACAGGACAGGGCAGAGAGCACAGCTGCCCATCCCAATCTCCCTCCAAAAATAAAGCTGAAGCCCCAGCAGAGATGCTGGAAAGCCCCATGGGGCAATCTCTGCAGAGATGCAGCAGCTCTTTGCACTCCCTGTGTGCTGGTGGAGGGCTCAGCTGTGGGTTTGTGCAGCACAATTTAGAGAAAATGCTGCTGATTACCATGGCCACTGAAGGGAAGACTGTGTGATGATAGGTACAGCACCCAGGAGTAGCAAGAGGGTATAGGAAATATGGGGTAATGCAGGAGGAATCAAAGTGTGTCTCCGTGGAAGGCAAAGGGGCACAGAGGGAACACAGGGCTAGACCTCTCCATCCCATTCACCTCTGCCCTGACAGTCACCTGAACAGCCTTGCCCATTATATGCCTGTGCTTTGGGGTCATGGTGGCTGGGACCAATGTTCTGAACCTTCCAGGAAACTCTGCTAAAGTTCAGAGACTGTAAAATACTTTTTCGAGGTTTTACGTCTCTGAGTAATAAAGATCATAAAGACCAGTGATTTGACTGTAGGACTGTGGGACTTGTAAACCATGAACACCTGAGTACTTTTTGTTCTCTTGCTCCTGGCACGACTATCTCACCTTTCTTTGGTTGCGGCACTCCTTTCATGAACACTGTGGTTACGGTACCTGGGTGCACTGCAACTTTTTATTGCATCCATGAGTACTCATGAAATGTCCCCTTGCCGCTGCAGGATTCAGGATCCCAGCTGTGTGAGGAGGAGTCTTGCCAGCAGGAGGAAGGAGATGATCCTTTCTCTCTGCTCAGCACTGGGGAGACACAGCTGAGGTGCTGGGTCCAGTTCTGAGCTCTCCAGTACAGGAGAGACACAGACATGCTGAAGAGAGCCTAGCAAAGAGCCACAGACATGGGCTGGAGCATCTCTCCTCTGAAGAAAGGCTGAGTGAGCTGGGACTGTTCAACCTGGAGAAGAGAAGCTCAGGGGAATCTCATCAGTGTATACAGATACCTGAAGGAGGGTGCAGGGAGGGTGGAGCCAGGCTCTTCTCAGTGGTGCCCAGTGAGAGGACCAGAGACAATGGGCAGAGAGTGAAACACAAGAGGTTCCCTCCAAATATCAGGAAACATTTTACTGTGAGTGTGACTGAGCACTGGCACGGGTTGCCCTGAGAGGTTGTGGGATCTCCCTCCTTGGAGATACTCAAAAGCCATCCAGAAACAGTGCTGGCACACTGGCTCTAGGCATCCCTGCTCGAGCAGAGGGTTGGATCAGATACCTCCAGAGGTCCCTTCTAAGCTCAACCATTCTGTGATTCTGTTTAGGGAAAGAAACTGCCTCATGAAGTCTCCTGGTTATCTGCTCTGAGAACAAGAGTCAGCTCTGACTTGGAGCCAGAGGAAGGCTGCCAGCACAGGCTGAAGTCAGCAGAGGGCAACATGGCTGCATAGACTAACAGAGCTGCAAGGATGTGTTAGAGAGAGAAGCAGAGCATTCTATTTCTTTGGAATACTGAATATTTTCTTGCATTACAAATTGGATTTTTACGTATATATCTATTCACACGTGTTTATTTGTACATATCAATATTATCAATCTAGATATACTATTACACTGGATCTGACTTGAGAAAACAAAATTAAAATATCTACCACACTCCATCCAAGGATTGGATGGTGGCCATGAGTGTTTTGTACCTTACAAAGCTGTAATTAACAAAACACATTTGCAGATGGGGCACCATGGCAGGACAAAGCATATCCAGAGACAGGGGTGGCATTTTGTTTTGCATCCTTACATACCCTGCCAAAGCAGGATACTGTATTGCTTTCCAGACTCAGCTTACTGCTCTGCTTAGAAAAGCTTCCTATCACTCTGGTGGTAAAGCAAGAAGAGAAGTGCAGAGAAAGCTACTGCAAGTCCCTCACCTCTGTTTGAGGTTCTGCACCAATATGTGAGCGGTCTGAAATAAATAGGAAGGATGATGGAAAGAAACTGGGCCAGATGCAAAATAGCAGCATATCTCATATTCATTGAAAAGGCAGGACAAAGCGTATCAGGAGACTTGGTATGTACTTTGTTCAATAGATATTTTAGAAAGATCTGTGGCTCCCAAATGCTAGCAGGAGAGTTAAGTGCTCAGGACATTCCTCTGCTAGTTGGAGCTCTGAAGGAGCACACGTAGGCAAGTAGGGGTTGGGGAGGTTGAAGCATTTTTGAGCCAAAGGGAAGATAAAAAGGAGTCTCAGACCCAATAAAGGGTGCCAGAGCCAGTGGTAGTGGCAGGATCCATTTGGATTGTCTCTTATCACACGGTGACTGCAGAAAAGGGCACTGGTCCAAGCTGAAACATTGCATACCTAAGACCTTGACACATACCATGATTAAACACCCAGCACCCTGCCCCTGGCAGTAGCTTGTGAGTGAGGTAGAATCCAGCTGCCTCACCTGAGGGAGTGACACTTCTTTGCATTTAAATGTTAGGCACCTAGAGAAGCCATCCTCCTAAAGCAGGTATCTAAATTCCCTGGGTGGTAAGCTGTCTTTGAAAATAAGCACCCAGAAGATCCTATCTGCCTAGCCTGCCTGTCCTATACTCACGCACCAAGGCCAAGACAATCTTCCTTGGGGCCTTCAAGGATTCCTGCGTCTCCTTTTATTTTACAGGGAAAGTGAGCAATCAACACAGGACTCATCTCATCCCATTGCAGCTGTCCGGGTCAGACATCTGGTTTAACAGGTCTAATAGAAAGCCAGTCTTCTGGGCTCCTGTGGGAGATGCAGAAAGTCTGGCAAGGGTTATTGATTGAGAGGGTTATTCATCCTGTCCCAAGGTGGGTGTCAAGGATTTTCCTCCAATTTAGCGGTCTCTGCCATATGCTGAGCAGAGAGGGGCCTTGGTGATCTACGTTAAACATCAAACTTTGATACAGTCAAAGCTGATGAGAAAAAAGGTCATCCCATTTATGAAGGAAGGCCTCCATAGGCCTGAGGAACTTTGGGTGCTGGTTGGGCATTTCGGGCTGTTCAACTGGGTCCTGCCCTCGGCATTCCTGGGATACGACTGCACTGCTGCCCCTCAAGGGAGGCAGGGATGAATCTCCCTTTAGTCGTTAGTTTGCTTAATTTATCAAGTCTGCACTGCAGAAAGACACTGGGAGCTCTAGGTCTGATGTCCTTCCCTTCAACTTCCTTCCATCTGACTTCCTTCTGGGTATCATTTATTTTGCAATAGCAGTGAGTGGCTTTGCATATCAGTAACTTGGTGTACCTTGTAAAATTCCATTTCCTGCACATTACACTTCTGAAAATCTGTGACCTAATTAGAAAAGAGATTATGAGTGAGGCCAATGCAATATATGAAGGCCTGTGTGTTATTTCTAGTAGATTATGCAAAAAAATGATTCACTGCAGAATAAAATTGTGCAATGCCTATAATTCAAGGTCTTTGCAATGAGAATTAGGGTTATGTGTGATTGTTGTTTTCCTTTTTCTGTGCTTAATTTATTGTTGCCCATTTAAACTTCTTAATAAGCATTCATACCAGAGTTGATCATAAAGTGCCAGTTAATTTTCACATGTAAAACAAAAAAGCCCCCCAGTTTCATTTGTTTCAAGCTTCCAGTTACAGTTTCGGGTTTGCAATAAAAATCAAACCCAAAATTGCAAATATTCTGTATTTCTTAAACACTTGCAAAATCAGTTTGTTCTACTGTTGTTGGAAAACACGCAAGTCTAAACTGAAGTGGAAAGTTTTCATAAAAGTTTTCATGTTAATTAAAATCTCACTGTTGTCCTCAAACAAAGCCATTAAAAATGCAGTGACTGTGCAGTATTTAATTTTCTCTTATTCCAAAAGCTCTGTCAAACAGGCAATTTACTCACAGATATACTTCAAGAGATATGTGTTACATCAAGAAAATGGCACACTTCTACTCAGGGGATGGGTTTTCTCATGCTCTGCTCTCCTAATCCAGGACTTGGCCTTTAAAGCCCCTGAGCAAGGGCTGGAAGTTATAACTAACAGGAAATTTTGCAACAGAAGCCAATGACACTTTTTTCATTTCTGCAGAAAATCTATGAAGTAATAAATTTTCATTGTTAGGTCATCTTGACTTTATGAAAGTCAAAGTTCTCCCTGAAGCATAATGATATTGTACAGCTTGGAGGTTTCTCAGTGATAGCAGGGTGATAAACACAATGTAATTCCTGCATCCTGGTTCACTGCAGTGTTGAGGTTGTAAGCACTGCACAGCACCTGGACAGGAGAATGGCCTGAGTGTCTGAGTGGGGGTTAGCTGCTGGCTGGGTTTAAACCACAACATACTACAAACAGGAGTGGATTTGTGCAGCAAACCAGTTGGTGCTGAGGACCTGAAATCCACATTTCTGTGCTACCCCTGTGATTTCTACTCCTCTCCTTGTATGCAGGTTCATGGGCTTGCAGGCAACTTTTCAGCACTGGAGGAAGTCTGAAGCATAGCCAAAAGTGAGCCAGTGAGCCAGTAAAATGAAAAAAATTACAAAAAAAATATTTGGATACAAGAACCCAGTAGAAAAGAGGATCTGGAGGAGTTTATATGCAACCAGGCACAAAGATTGGAATGTTTTCTGTTATCAGCATTCTAAATTAACCAGTTTCTTCCAGTTCAGGTATGTCTACGTGAATGAGAATAGAGTGCTGCCATACTCCTAAACATAGTGTCAGCTGATAGGAGGGCCTGGATAAGCTCAGCAAGTCTCAGCTTCTTTGGAAGAAGTTTCTGTGGATATTTGAGGATCTTTGAGACTGGTTTCAACTAGAATCAAAGAAGCAGTACACAGAAACATAATGCTTCTGTAGGCAGATTTGTCCTCACTGCTCTTCTGGGTCACCAGATGTTTCAATATCTCAATGTAGCAGTAGCCTAAAGTACATTGTCAGCCCCTGTGGGAACTCCAGATCTAGTCCTTCCAAAGGATGAAGGAATCTTTATTTCAGAGATTTTTCTCCCTCTAATGCCCTTATTAACTTGTCCATATTCAGACATTAATTCAGCAACACCCTAAAACATGGGTTAAAAATCAATCTGCTTTCTCTATCAGTTAGTTCTAGACGGGTGTTTTCATGGCTCACTGGAGGTATTACTACAGCCATTTCTCTTGCAGCAGCAGCTAAGGTGACTTACCTCTTCGTGCCTCTAGAACTATACTGTAGCTCAACTCCAGGTTGTCCATGCCCATGGCTGAAACATATTTACCATGCTTCACCCTAAAATTACTTCTGTCCCTCCGGTGGGAGCTGAGGGAACTTGAAAACTCCAAAAGGCACTAGGGCTGGGGAAGGATTTGGGTTATTGACTGCGCTGTGTTGCCACTACAGAGCCTGCTTCCAGTGCTGTTGGAGGAAGCCTAGTAGCAGAGATTCATTTCAAAGCTTTTGCTTTGCTATTGCTCCTCCAACCTGATTTATGCTGTAAAAAGGTACTCTCACTATGCCAAGGGGAGATCTAGTAGGTTGACTTGGAAAACCACACAGTGGATTCACAGTGTCTGTCTTCACTGGTAGTTGCCAAATTTCCACTCATGTTTCCTCTCTTCTCCTTACAGTTTCTTTTCTGTCTGTTCCTCAGTCAAGTCCAAGTTCCAAACTTCCCTGTAGTGGCGCCTACTGTTAACACACCAAGGATAGGAGACAAATCACTGGACTTTACACATCTGCAAAGGCAACACCTGCATCTGGGAGACTCCCATGGAGTGGCTTTGCAGATAGTAGGAGGGTAGATACTCAAAAGGTACCTCCTGCAGACAGCACCATGGGAAGATGGGCTAATCATACCCTGGAATTGCCTGTCTTTTCCATAAACTGACTATTACCAGTTCAGCTATGGGCATCCACATCAGCCTTCTTCCATGAGTCATTCAATCCATCTCCAGCAGAGACTTCTTTTGATCTGGAAGAGGCAAGGCCTCTGTGAGGCACAGCCATGAGATCCTGCAGTTACTGTCTCCATCCAACACATATGCACATAAGCAATCAGAATTCTGTCATATCCTAATTTGAGATGCTTTACTTTGCAGTCTGAACAGTTTGCTTTAACTAGTGTTTTTTAACAAACCAGTTTGTTTCTGAGCATTTTTACAAAGTGATAAGAGGAAACCAGGAGACCCAATACCTGGCTTCCCTCTCAGCGGGTCTGCAGCCTTGAGGCTCACAGCATAGAGCAAGTGGAGGAAGTTGGAGTGTCAGTGAGCAGAGGTTGACATTTCACAGATAAAAGCTGGCAGGAAAGGAGGGTGCTCTTCCTTAATCATATTCTTAGAAATACCTAAAATATTTAGACTGAAGCCATCCCAGAGTTCATCCTGAAGCAGATTTTATGCATGGGAGCTTATTGCAAAGACCCGCAACACAGCACGGAGCAGTGCAGCTGTGAAGTGGGGCAGTCAGTGCTCGCTTGCTAAATTCCTGTTGGAATGCTGGCCTCAATGACACTGTATGGTAGGAACATTACCTTGAGGTGGACACTCAGAGAAAAAGGATTCCCCATATGGGTTTGGATTTGGTTCTCTCTAGTTTCATTTACATTTTTTGTTTCTAATAGTGAGAGCCAGGGAGATCAGGAACTCCTCCTCAGAGTGTCCTTTGCACAGAGGTACATGAGCCTTTTGTATAGCTGCATTTTTAAC